AGACAGACAGACAGACAGACAGACAGACAGACAGACAGACAGACAGACAGACAGACAGACAGACAGACAGACAGACAGACAGACAGACAAAGAAATAAAAAGAGTTGGAAACAGGTAGATATAAGTAGAGAATAGTGGAGTGGAAAACTTGGCACCATAAGAAGCAGGCAATACAAATTTAAATGACAGTTCGTCCTGGTAATTTCTCACGTATATGCAGTGAACAATGATGAGTAGAGTCTATCACGAGCCCCAACTCACAGCCACAGCCAGACGGACAAAACAGACAGAATGTAGACAAAGTGTGCATGAACCTGATAACCCACATTTCTAAAAGATTGAGAAAAACAACGCTAAATTACACACTGAAGTCGTCGTTTATAAAGAAAATTCAGGGTGTGCAACGTGCTGGTCTCTACGAGTTCACGAAGACAATTATTGTTGTGACAATTCGCCATGCTCTACTGAACTTGAATTAAATGAATAAATTGTTTCATTTTTTTCTATAAAAATGCGGGTTATATGGTCCATGCAACATCTCAAAGGAATAAATGCACAGAGGACTCAGAAGAAAGTTGCAAAAGTAGAAACAAAAATGAGAAGTGCTGAAAACATAGGGCCAGGACATACACACAACACGAAGGCAAAATATCATAACTCTAACTGTTTATTAGTTATTTGTTTGTATGAGGCTTTATAGTATGCATTATATATATAAACTATAATATATGAAATCGATACATATAAAGCAAATCATGACCATTGGTCCAAGTAAATGGAAGAAAAGCGTACACGCGTTGCACTGACGGAGCTATGTTCAAGAAACCTTGCACCACAATATAAAAGTATGAGGACAACAGAATTCCATTATCAACAGTTCTCGTTTTGAAAATTGAAAAATACAAGGGTGCCTGCTATTACAAGAAAGAAAGAAAGGGGAGGGGGATCAAAAATGTATATTCGTGAGCATTTTATAAAAATCAAAATTTGGAAAAAATACAAATACATAGCACCACTGAATGGGTAAGGCATTTGACATAAACGTAGTACCATTGTGTTTTCAGGGTTACTCAGTGCAAGTAATGGCTCAGTGAACGCGTGCATGTGTACGTGACGAGAGAGAGAGAGAGAGAGAGAGAGAGAGAGAGAGAAGAGAGAGAGAAGAGAGAGAGAGAGAGAAGAGAGAGAGA